AGGGAGAGGGGAGAAGGGAGTGATACCTGGCCCTTGGTGTCTCCAAGGGCACAAGGTACACCAAGACCAGGAGGGTCTTGGTCTTTGCTGCAGCAACCAGTTGGAGGAGAGAAGGGGCTGAGATCTTGATCAGCCCCCAGCAGGGGTGTGGAAACGAAAAAAGGGCGAACACAACAAGAGGGGGTTGAGGGGCAGGGGGAGTACGAAGTAGGGAAGCAGGCCAAAGGACAGAACGGGAAAGAATACGCAACGACCGAGCCAGATGGGGACGACACGTGTCACGTTGTACTGCAGGGGGTCGATAGGGGCGTGGAAAGGGAGAACCGGCGAACACATCAAGAGGAAAACATGACTCTGACACGAGGGGGCAGCCGAAACGAAGGGAGCGGTGAGGAGGGAGGAACAGACGAGATGGCAGAGTGCCTTCCAGCAGGCTTGTGTATGGCACTGGCAGCCTGGTCACCAGATGCCTCCCAAGTGGAAAAGGAAGGCCCCCCCCCAAAAAAAATAAGAGCCTGCACTCACCAGCAAGAGACAAAAGTTCCAACACTTGCTAGAAAAAGCACCTCCCGACCTCCCACCGTCTAATAAAGGTATTGCATTTCTGCCTGTAAGGAAAAGGGACGATACCTGGGATGTCGGTCTACCTGTACCCCCAGGAGCACTACATCAAGATATAACCATGAAGGGGTGTTCCTCATTCTTCCTTTCGCTCACGTCGTGGGCCGGAGGTCTGCCGCTCCGGGGAACGGAGATTACCCAATTGACAAAAGAACAACTCCCCAAAGGAGCTACGTCAGCCCTGGTGATGTCATATGGACATCACAGGCTGACGACCAAAGACATATATCTACGCTATGACAACTCAGCAACAGAGGACCTGCATTGGCTGGACCAGGAAGCCCTTAAAAACCTCCAATTGTTGAAGATCAAACCGGGCGACCTCTGGTCAGCTGACGAGATCAAAGCCTTCCTACTCAAGCTACTAAAAAATGACACATTACAAAAGGGCGGCGTGCTGGGTACTGAAAAGTGGCTTCCCATTTAAAAAAAAAAAAAAAAACACCAACAAATAAAAACAAACACCAACACATGTACATATACAATGATGGTGCAATACAGACAGCATGCGAAGACCAGAAAGAAAGATGAATGTTGTGGATGCGATATATGGTAGGGACAGGGTCCTGAAACTTGGTAAGCGCCAAGCCGACCTGGACCTGTGTACCCTCAACGTAAATGGACTGGTCTCAGCGAAGCTACCTAAAAGACAAGCAATAGTGGACCAGTTGAAGGGGGTAGATGGGAGAGATT